ACAATGACAGCTGTTACTAGACTTATTGTAGTGATCACTTTATACAGTATATACATGTGAATCAATATGTTGTACACTTGAAACTGGTAACAAAATGTCAACTATGGTGAAAAATAAAGTTAAAAAATAAAAAACAAATAAAAAATAGTATGTACCCTTGATATGATGTTTGAAAATAGCATTTGATCTCTGCAGTCTTCCTCGCCAAAGCCCATAATTTAAGTCTAATCATGAGAAAAACATCAGACAAATCCCAATTGAAGGCCATTCTACAAAATAACTGAGCAGCCCCAGAACTGTCAAGGTCATCATGAACAAGGAAAGTCTGAGAAACTGTCAGCCAAAAGGAACCTAAGGAGACATGGCGACTGAAAGTAATGTGGGATCCTGGAGCAGAACAAGGACATTAGGTAAGAACTAAGGAAATCTGAATAAAATAAAGACTTTAGTTAATAATGTATCAATATTGGTTCATTAATTGTAACAAATATGTCATACTAATGTAAGATGCCAAAAATAGGAAACTGAATTTGAGAGTATACGGAAATTCTCTGTTCTACTTTCTCAATTTTTCTGTAACACTAAAACTGTTCTAAAAAATCGTCTATTTTTAAATTGTTTAATACTTGACAAGAGTTTTTTAAATGTTAATTGCAATGTAGAATCTGAAATAATATCAGTGTATTTTTAAAATTCTGTTATATTAAAATCCATTAGCCTTCTTGCACTTTAAATGGATCTTTTGTCATACATGATTTTGTTAAAGTATGCAATGGTTGTTAGAAAATATTGGTTCAATGAGTTATGCAGATCTTCCAAATGTTGACGTGTTTAATTATACAATGTCAAATTTTTATATTTGTTATTATCACCATCAATCTCATAAGAAAAAAAAATGCATAAAAATTGGGAAGCTGTCAAGTTCATGGTGATGGCAACAAGTCTTCCAAAATTCTAATTTTCAGTTGTTTGCTCAAATGTATCACTGGCAGCAATTACTCTTAGTTGTTTTTCTTAAGTGACAGTCTTACTTCATTCATTTTCAAGAAAATGTCAAATATTGTGAGAAAGTATCTGCCAACCCTCAATAACCATAGTTTGCCCCTCGTTCTTCCAAGTAAAAATGGCATTCCATGAAAAAAGTGGCAAGTTCAGCTGGTGACTCAAACAACTACTCAGGTACTTTTCCTTGGACAACTGCACTTGGTACACAGCAGAAGCATCCTTCCTGCATCATGGAAAGTATTAAAAAGGTATGCTCTCAAGGGGTGCTATTTAATGAAGCTGATCATTTTCATTGCTTCTTCAATGACATTCTTAGGTAAAACTGGACTTTTTTTTTTTTTTTACAATGATCACACAGCAATGAAGACTACAATATGGTTTGGTGCTACTGCCTTGATTCAGCTAAGGCTCCAGCAATTTTACCCACCGTTGCTTTTGTACCATTATTTCAAATGTCACCAGAGTGAAAAATGCAAACAGTGTCCTAGAATTATTATAGAGAGTTTTGACCTCAAGGACTACTAAGAACCACTGTTAAGCAACCATATTTCTGATATCTCTACTGCCATCCAATTAAGCCAAGTAATAGCATAGAGGTAAGGAACAGAACCCCGACAGCTCGCCATGTCCTCAGAGGTGAATCTGCTTCACTTTCCTTCACCGCCACTCTGACAGAGAGGGAGTGACAGGGAACAAAGAGTAAATTTGCCTTTACTCTCCCACAGTTCTCCAAAACAGGGCTCTTACCCTTTTTATATCATGGCAGAGTGAGAAAATGATATTATTTTTATTAAGGAGTAAAGGAATGAGGCTGCCTAAGGCTTGAGGTCCCTAGCCTGGAGGTGGTGGCCCTATACAGCCTTCAGGAGGTCCCAAGGGTTTGTAGCTGTGCCCACTCCCAGTGGGTATGCCAAGGCACATGAGTTGAGCAGTTCTGTACTAAGGTTCTCAGTATACCTGGGGCTGTCTGACTGGAGGACCTCTGTCCCATACCCAGCTTCATGCTCCATAAGAGGCTCAAAGTTTATTTAAATGTGTGAATTCATGGAGTATCTGATTGTATTTCATGGTAGATCTGGAATTATATTAATGTAATTTGATGTAACTTGTCCAGAACATTTTCAGTTATACCGTAGTGATTAAGAGCACAGCATCTTATTCCCAGACTACTGAGAAGTTCAAAGACCTGGCTTGCCACTTATTAGCTGTCTCCATTTCTCTACCTATGAAATGGGGACAACAATAGTACCTACCTATTTTAAGCATAAAATGAGTTAATATATATAAAGTAATTAGAATGATGCCTGATAGGTGGCAATGTTTTTGCTCTTATTATTACGTAGATACTATAAGGTCTCCTAATTGGGACTGCTTTTCTGAGCATGGCAGTGTTAAACTGCAGATCTGCAAAGAATGAGAATCCCAGAGCTACCCGAGGCTCGATGTTAACCTGCAGGGTTCTAGATCTGAGGTAACATGCATGGAGCAGGGAGCGAGACAGATGTGAGAAGAGGGGACTGACCTGGGCCTCTTTAGTCTACCTATGGCATACATCAAGGGTCTACAGTCCAAACCTTCCTTGACCTATCAAAACACAAACAGATGAGTTTCCACCTAAACTATATATACATATATATATATGTATATGTATATATATATTTTTTCTTTTTTTAAGGGACCATGGTGAAAAAATAATCTTCACAGACTATTAACCTATCTATTTCTCACTGAAGATTTTTTTCATGATGGTGTCAGGAGTTGTGGCTGGATGAGCATGGGCTTCAAGAGCCTCCCAGAAAGGTAGAACAGGTGATCCAAAGCTGGGGCTATCCCAGACACATCAGATAATAGCTTCTTTACTTTGGGTTGGATATGTTTTTTTTTTTCACTGAACAGTTTTTGGCAACTGTTTAGCGTGGCTCATAATCCCATTACAACTAATTAAGAGTATAGGTTACATCTGAAGCTGAATGATTTCAAGAATCCTCTTCGTGTAAGTATTCAATATCTGAATTGTCACAGTTATAAAGTTGCAAAGAAACATAAAACTATCATAACAAAAAGATAGTCACAAATAAACTGATCACTTAAAAACGCAGCCCATCTTCAAACATCCCTCCCACGTTAATCCTAGTACCTAACCCCACCCACCATGTTGGTATCTGGTCATTCAGTGCTTGTCTGATGTAGTAAACATAACACAATTACAATGTAGATAAAAAGCAAACATATCCATTCAAAGCCTTTGACCGATAAGGATCTTTCCAGCTTGAATCAAGAAGAAGAAAAAAATCAACGAAACTTTAAAAGAAAGTAATTAAAAGATTTTGAAAAAACGGATGAAATCCTTAAATATTTTTGTAAAAATAATTTTCTATGTAATTGAAAAACCAAATCATGAAGTGCGAGATAATTTATCAACCTAAAACTTGGTCCAAGAAGTTATGCCAAAAATAAATAGTAATCTGTTCATTATTATTGTAGGAATTTAGTTCATAGTGGTATTATAATCTATATTTTTGTCAAATAAGATAAAAATTACTTATTTTCATTTTTCAAGATAAAGTCCCAATTAATCTTTTTCTTCAGTAACTCAGATCATAGACTGAAGATTTTGGTTCCTGATTAGCGACCTTTTCCTGGTTCTAAGTCCTCCGAAGTTACGAGCACCTTAAAAATAAAGATAAATATTTTTATCTACTCAGTATCTGTTCCAAGAGGCCATCCTGCGTCCCGACCCCAGGATACAACTGGCCTGCCCTTCCCCTCTGCTCACTAGGTCCCTCCTGTGGAAGGAGGAGGAGCTTTGTCTTTAGGACACAAGCTTTTCCTCAAGGAAGTTTATTTCTCTGGCAAAGTACGTAAAACTTAAATGGAAGCCTTAATAGAATTTCGTCCGGAGAGATTAGGTTACTGGGACCTGGATAAGATTGATCCAGTAGAAAGAAGCACGAAACGTCCACATCACCCAGAATGACTTTCACCAACAGAGACAGACGTGACCCCTGTCAGATCATCCTACTTGATCCCAAATGCTATTGGTTTTGAAGTGCTTTTATTTCTGTAATAACAATTGTAGATTAGATTCATTTCACTAGTTTAAAATTGACACATGTACAATGGTTAGAAGCAATTGAGTCACTAGCTTTTAAGAAAAGTACACATAAAATTGATGGCAGGTATAAATGAAGACTTTTTCTTCCCCTTTACTGAAAAACAATTGGTTTTTTTTAGTTACCTAAAAGTCAAGATAAATCAGAGACTAGCTGTAATGATAATTTATACAAGACAATTGAGGTATTATGCTTAAAGGTATGTATAATTTGAATTTGTTTTTCTCAAGATTTACAGCAATAAATATACTGAATATCCATTAAGTACTGAGAATTCCAGAGCTTTTAAAAGACAGAACTCATATCTATAATGAAGCTGCAATCAAGGTCTTTCTCATTTATATGAATGTGTGTATATGTACATTTTTCTCTGTTGAATATATTATTATATAACATAGATATCACAGTTATAAATATTCACTTTCTTTGACTCTGGCACAAATAGGCCAGATATTATGGGAATAATAGATGGGTAATAAGAACGAGGAATAAAAATTCTTTTGTCATACTTCCTTGGATCATAGTGATACTACTTCATCTTCCTTTCCCCACATACTAATCTCACGTCAATTTTAAAAAGTAATTCTCTTATAATTCACTTTTATAAAATATTCCTACAACTGATTTTAGTTTTGCTTCCAGCAACAGTTGACAGTTCTCTCTGTATTTCTAATTTTTGTTTTAGAGTTCAAGTGCAAATTTTGTGCCAATATCTATAGAAAGCACATGGCATATACAGATGAGTATTTCCCTCAGTGAGACTTTCAAATCAGTTCTGACTCTGTGAATAGTATTTTAAAGTCTGAAACAGGCAAAGAGGAAAATATGAAGTAATTTAACATGTGAAAAGGCCAATGAGTCTGGACATGTCTGGATACTTACTCTCTCACACAGCTCTTCAAATGTGCAGTCGGCAATGGTTCCACAGGCTTTATTCAGCCACAGCTCTCTGCCTTGCACTTTTAGAATCCTTGGTCTAGTTACTATGGGAACATGAACAAAGACTCAATCTTGTCTGGATAATTACTATAAAATTCATCTCTTACAGATAGGAAATGCATAGCTTGATGAATAATAGCACATGATTCAACACATAAATTAGACAAAATGCTGATACAATGACTGCCACTTGAGCGTGGCATCAACCCATATACAGCAATGGAACTTATTAATTGGTCAGTGGAGATTGGGCATTGTGTTCTAAATGTATTCTCTTTCAAGAGAAATTAACTTACGTACAATCATTTTGTTTCTGAGCCAGCTCATCAAACAACTTATCCATGACAGCCTCCACATCAGCTTCACTTGTGCTACAGTGAAAAGAATAATAGAATATGAAATTAATAACACTTGAAGCCAACATCAAACAGCTGCCTGAGCCTGCTTAGCTTTTTGCCCATAAAGAAAGAGAACAGGATGTTATGCTCTAAATACAAACATTAGATTTAGAATACACTTAAAAGCAGAGAATATTAACTCTCAGGTAGATGATTCTGCCTTATTTGCATACACTGAAAGACTTCTGTGCTTCTGGCTGTTTCCCGTAATGAAACGATACAGGCAGAGTAAATCCATTAATACCATGTGTACACAATGAGAAGAAAGGCTCTGGCTCTCCCTTGCATGCAAAACAAGAGCAAATAGACAAGGCAGTCAAGCATCCAGCAAAGTATCCTTTGAAATCTCTACTGAGAGAGTACATGTGAAATTAAATATTGAAGCTGCTTTAAAAAAAAAAAAAATCAAGTCAAGCCACTGACTGAGAGGATCAAACATCCAGAATTAAATTACCAGCTTCAAAATACCAACCAGATCTGCACATCAATAACTTTATCGGACTTTGAGTATAAGAACAACTATAAACCACAGAGCTTCTCTCAAAAGTGTACTTCTCGGAAATTCAAGAAAACGCTCTCCTTCTGTGATGCTCACCATTGCAGCTACTATAAAGTTAGTCTCATCAAAAAACCTTTTGTATTCTAATTAGAAATCACCATATGGTTTAAGGGAGCCACATATATAAATGTGATAATACTATGGCCCTTTTTTCCTCTTACTCTTTTTTTCAAAAGGAGTTGATAAATTGACAGTATATAAAATAAAGTAACTGGCAGAGGAGATAAATGCTGTTAAAAAAACACTTCAAGTGAAAATGGAAGTGTACTTCAACTCTCTCTACATACAAACTTAGACAGGATGACCTGCCAATATGCTTGATTTTGACACACAAATCATTCTTATATCTAGGTGTGGAAGCAATTAAACTCAATTCTGGATATCCATCTTAATAAAGTCTTATTGAAAACTAATATGACAAATTATTTTCTCTTCAGGTTAGGTTTAAACTAAACCAAACTAATTTCTCCCTTGAGATAATTATCAGATGGCAGGCACTTAACACACAAGCACTTCATTCTTCAACTGTTCTACAGTAAATGCCTCTAAAATGCAACAAAGCACAGTCATTATGAAGGGTTTGGGATTGTCATATTCCAAGCAGCAACCATTCCACCTCAAAAAATTTTAAAAACATTATTTTCAACGTTTAACTTTGCAGGGGAAATGCTATTTGACTTACATAAAGCCTTGTACAATATTTGAATAGAGCTGTATTAAGATAACAAAATGTCGCTACAGAAAGAGTGATTATAGAGGCAAAAAGCAACTTTAAAGGTACCAAGAAATCACACAAGCCTGTGTAAATGTCCATGTCCATGCCGAGCACAGGAATGTGTAGGTGGCTTGGCCAACATCATTCTTGGTAATGCATTTGGAATTGCCTCCATCTGGCAATGGTGGTGTACACACACACACACAACTGTTGGAGAAGTGAGCTACTTTTTAAGAGAGATAGAAAGGAGAGAGTAACGCCAGCCACCCAGGATGTCTGCTGGCTTTCAGAAAGTTAACCTCTGCTTAGGATAGGCATGTTGCCCGATATAGGGGGAGCCCTAAATTCTGAAAAATTAGCGAGACAGAAGACAATTACACTTCTAAAAGCATATTTGGTGAATAAACAATAGCTTCCACCACACTTCCTCAGTGGCGATTTCTTTTCACTCTGTGCTCTAACATACTATAATGTTAAAATGTGGCTCACTAGCCCAGCCAGTGTGGCTCAGTGGTTGAGCATCGACCCATGCACCAGGAGATCGCTGGTTTGATTCCCGGTCTGGGCACATGCCTAGGCTGTGGACCCAATCCCCAGTGGGGGGCATGCAGGAGGCGGCCAATAGATGTTCTCTCTCGTCGATGTTTCTATCTCTCTCTCCCTCTCCCTTCCTCGCGCTCTCAAATCAATAAAGAAAAAATATTTAAAATGTGGCACACTGGACTTTGGTCAAGCTGCATCTTCTACGTCATCTATGATATTGCTATGTGTGATTTCATTTATGATGACATTATATGTAAAATTACATAATTATTTTTATTATAACAGTGTCTTAAAAGAATTCTATTACATTATCAAAAAAAGTTACTCAGAAGTTACAACACATAAAATAGTTTACTAGTGATAGGTGATCTAAAATAAATATTTGTAAAAGCAGTTTATGTAATGTACAATTGAACAGACTATTTGACCTCAGGGAGTAAGCTCTACCGATCTTCTGGGGGACAGAAACCTTATCTTCATATTGTCTTAAAAGCAAAAGAGGCTAGTGTGTGCTTTGGTTTCATTAGATGTATCCATACTGATACAAAATAAAAAAGGATGTATGAAAGGAATTTTTACAAGAAAGTAATATATTCACAATCCCTTAATAAATTACTTACAAGGTAACACTAGTCTTCCCAGATTCCACTCAGATTTCAGGTTTCTCTATTTAGGAGGATTTATGAGTTCATTAATCTTTTTTAAGGATGAGAATTAGAAAAGCAAAATAAAAATTTAAACTTACCTATCTAAATTAGTCTAAAAGATTTGGTTTTTACTTATTACCCAAGCTCATAAACATCTTTGAGTATGTTTATAATTCTAGTCAAAATTTTGGATGATTCTTAACTATTTTAATGTGTCACACAGGGAACAACTAAAGAGTTATCATTTGTTGAGCAACTATTATGTGGCAGTTAATTTACCTATACCATGCCACCTCACCATGTAGTATGTGCTATCCCATTTTTATAGAAAACTGAAATTCAGAGATTAAGTCACTTATCTATATCAATACATAAAAATTTAAAGTTTTCTGAATCACAGAAAATATCATAAATAAAATTTATAAGCATATTAAACCAGGAAACATAGTGGCAACATTTATGACATACAATTACAATTATCAATATATTTTAAAAATTCCAACAGATAAAAAAAAAATTTGAATAGCCCAATAGAAAAACTGGCAAAGAACCCAAACAGGCAAATTGCATTAAAAAATAGCTAAATGGGCAAGAAGCATATGTAAAATTGTTCATTTTTATTGGTAACAAAAAATGCAAAGTAAAAATATAAGACGTCATTCGTTCATTCAAACTGGCAGAGATAAAGAAAAAGATAAAATACTCAGAGGAAGCACAAGTATTGGGGTGGAGGGACCCTCTTTGTACTGCTGGAAGGAGTGCAAAACTGGTACAAGATTTCAAGAAAACCAGATAATATGTAATGAAAGTATTAAAAACATGCATTTCCCATCACCCAGCTACTCACTCATAGGCATTTCACCTATGTAAATATTAATGGTCAACGACTATAAAGATGTTCATTGTGTCATTGTTAATATAAAAAAAATTTTTTATAAGCAACCTAAATGCCCAATAATGGGGAATTTGATGGAGTACATTTGTATACAACCACACGATGGGATATTATGTCGTTTTTGAGTGCAACTTCTCCCTCTTGTCCTGGAATTGCAATTAAGACCCAAAGTTGACTAGTGTAAGTGCTAACTAAGTACCCTCAAATTCCAAAGAGCACCACCAATGAGCCACCAATAACTGGATCTAGACTCCCATCCCAATGGTTAAATGAGGAGGAGAACCAGCCCTACTCCAAACAACCCCCTTCTAGGAGGGGGAAGGGAATCAGGAGTCACTGGCCTTCGTGTCTAGTATTTGTGATAAGAGCATTTTCCCTTCCTTCTCCTTAGGAAAGAAGAGGTTGATTTACCCTTCCCAAAGGCAAGTGATGTGGGTGAAGTGTTCCCTAAGAGAACCGCTTGGAAAAATTAGAGGAGTCTGGAGGAAGAAAAGACTGCTGTTGCTGTCCGTAGTTGAAATGAGCAGAACTTTAGTAGGTTAAGAAATCAGAATGTGGAAGGTAGGGTGCTGAGCAGTTCTCACCAAAGCAAAGCAGTTCTCACCAAAAAGACCCCTCAAAGATTTGGCACCAGTAGATTAACTTGCAGATATAGGTAAGGGCTCACGCTAGACACTGACTGAAAGTCAGACAAAGGCAATTCTGTAGATTCCCTCCTTTTCCTGGACAGCCAGATTCCTGTACCTCCTCCACTCTACCATCCGGGACAGTTTTAACAAGAAAGAAAGTGGGAGATACTATACTGAAAACCTAGATATTAAACAGTGAAACCAACTGTCTCTACCTCTTCAGCATTCAGATCCTACCAGCCAAGCTTCCATCCCAAGAAGTAAACAAAAGATTGTAAGAAACTGAATAGCCAAAAGAAAAACTCACCCTGGCCGGTTTGGCTCAGCGGTTGGAGCATCGGCCTGCGGACCAGAGTCCCAGGTTCGGTTCCCGCTAGGGGCATGTACCAAAAAAAGAAAAAAGAAAAAACCCGCCAATACTGACATTTGGTAGTTCTTCAATGTAAACCTGACCTGGCACCTTATTAGCCCTCAGTGATGCCCATCAATCAATAAAACCCTATCTATGCACACAGAATTTCTAACCAGCTTTTTAATGCCTCATTCTTAAGTGTGAGTGGACAATCAAGTATTTCTAGGCATTTAAGTTAAGCTTCTATAAAAAAAAGATATAGGTCAAAATAAAAAAATCAAAGAGCCCTGACCAGGTGGCTCAGTTAGCTGGAGCATCATCCTATACACCAAAAAGTTGTGGGTTTGATCCCCGGTTGGGGTGTGTATGGGAGGCAACTGATTGATTTTTATCTCTCACATCAATGTTTCTTTCTCTCTCTCTCCCTTCCTCTCTCTCTAAAAAGTCAATAAACATATCCTCGGGTGAGGATTAAAAAAAAAAAAAAATAGAAGAAAAGATCTTGGAGGAAGCAAAGAAGAAATGGAGACTAGAAGGGGAAAAACATACTCTGATACGTCTAGAGAGAAGGGGATATTGCATCCATAAAACAAAGGAGGATGCTGTAAACTAAAAGAACAATTAGTGCATAAG